CACGTCTGCAAACAAAGTGCATTGTAGGATTTTTGCAAGAAAAATTATAAATTTTCTTATATATTTAATTAACACATGTGCGTCTTTAGAGACTCTTTGCTAGGAATGCGACATTGTATTGCTTGTCTATTACTTTAGCAAAACTTGTGTCCTAAACTATAAATGTCTTCTTCTATGTAGTCTTCAATACAGATACGTTTTATAAGACATTTCATAACGTTCAATCATTACGTTGTTATAAGACAGTAACGCTTTGAACTTGAAAGATATTAGAATCCAAACATCATCCTTACCTTTGTCTGCCCACAGCTGACATTGAGGCAAACAACGTTGTTTTGTAACTCTAGGTTTAATATAGAAATGTCAATTTTAAATGTGTATGAAATATTTTATATAATAGGTATAAAATATAATATGATAAGTAAATAAATAAAAGCCTCTGTAATTAATTTATTAAAAATAAACCATGTACTAGTAGTTAAGGGGACGCTTAAAACCAGCCGCATTAGCCTCCACTTTTGGCCGAGAATTAATTTTTTTATTTCATTAACATGTACTGTACATTTTGTTTTTGTGATTTTGGTCATTAAATAGTGTTTTATTTTGTTTTATTTATTTTATTAAGATAAAACAATAAGACCAAATTATTATATTACATTTATTTACAATTTGTCCACTTACAGTTTACACGACATACAAATAAAAACAGCAACAACAGGATATGTTTTTTCTTATTTTATAACGTGAAAAGTAGAATTAAACTTATTTGAGAACTTCTCGTAGATATTAGCACTTATAATAACAAATACAAAAAGGCGTCATCAAAAATTAAATCGCTGTTACATTGCTTTATTGATATTTTATTTTGCCGGCGGACAGCGGTTCATTTCTGAACATCGTAGGATGGCAATAAATCAATTGCCTGCCTGAATTCGCTGAAATAGCGAGAAAACCACTGTCAATAGACATTCGCAAAATCAGATTCATTCTCTATATTTGATGGAGGAGGCGACGCAGAGAAAGAGGTATTTCCCCTTTCTATGCGTCCCCAACTCTGTCAAATTCACTATCCTTTTCTATTCTTTATTTATAAGTAAGGGTTGTAAAGAAAAGTGGTATAAAGTTAGGCCTCCAGTATGCATACACATCAGACTGTACGTGAAATGACTTACACTTCACGCCTGCCTTCTGCGTGCTCGTGGTATTGCAGGGAGCCGGCCCTGTGGTACACCAGATGTTGTGTTTGCTAGCGTCTAGTTATGTTACCACCGTCTGCGCCATATTTTAACATTTTCTATAAATACAATAATTTTCGTTAGAACTGCATTTAACTCTAGCTTATTTTACTAATATTATAAATGCGAAAGTTTAAATGGATGGATGGATGTTTGTAGCCTAAAAGGCTGAACGGATCTCTAGTCTGGAAGAACACATAAGGTACTTGCTTTTGCTTTTTTTTAATTCTACGCGGACAGAGTCGCGTGCGAAAGCTAGTTTTTCATAAAAGGTCATAAAAATATGTTAAAGATCATTGTGACATAATCATTAGTATTAATAAGTACAGTCAGACGAACTAAACT